TTCCTTGGATACCGCATCGACACAGACGGTATACACCCCACTCTCGATAACGCCTCCGATGCCAAGGCAGGAGCTCCAGGCATTTCTTGGACTCCTGAACTTCTACCACTCGTTCCTGCCACTCAAGGCCCACCTCAGCCGAGTTGCTTCACTGTCTCCCAGACGAGAAGTCTCCCTGGGTACGGGGCCACCGCCCGAATGCCGCATTCCAAGCCGTGAAAGCCCTGCTCACGTCCAACTCCGTTCTCGCCCACTTCAACGAGTCCCCCCCAGTGGTCCTTGCCTGCGGTGCCTCCCCTGTACGGCATCGGCGGTGCCCTCAGTCACGAGGTTCTGGCCAGCCGGGAGGCATCCATTGCCTACTATCCACACACGTTGTGTTCTGCAGAGAGGATCGGCGTGCAGATCGACAAGGAGGCCGCGGCGGTCGTGGGCGGCATCGAGAAGTTTCACAGCTACCTCCAGGGCTATTTTTGGGCAGGAACGCACAGGAACGGAGTTCCGTCTGGCTCCCGAGTTGGCCACGCCCAGCAGGAACTCATTAGCATAATAGGCCACACCCAACAGCAGAAACTCATTAGGATTGGCTACATTAGGGGTGTGTGGCCTAACATGCAAAGGAGTTCCTGCTACAAAGAAAGGCCCTGGGTTTTGACAACAAACAAGGTAAACAGAATAAGAAGCAAAAGGTGGGTGTGGCTGGATGTCGACACTCCTGGTAACATAAGGGTGTGGCTTAATGTGCTAATGAGCTGTGCTGTCAGGGGTGTGGCCCAATATGCTAATGAGTTCCTGCTGTTGGGTGTGGCCTGTTATGCTAATGAGTTCCTGCTGGGCTTTTTCCACAAAAAAAGCCCTGACTACCTCTATGGCCGTCGGTTCACCATCGCCACGGACCACAAGCCTTTGCTGGGCCTCTTTGCTCTGGACCGCCAAAGATCTCAGATCCCATCGCCTCACATCCTGCATCGGTCCATCTTTGGTGTAGTGGTTAAGTGTGTGGACTCTAATCTGGGAGAACCGGGTTTGATTCCCCACTCCTCCACATATGCTAATGAGTTCCTGCTGTTGGGTGTGGCCTGTTATGCTAATGAGTTCCTGCTGGGCTTTTTCCACAAGAAAAGCCCTGACTACCTCTATGGCCGTCGGTTCACCATCGCCACGGACCACAAGCCTTTGCTGGGCCTCTTTGCTCCGGACCACCAAAGTTCTCAGATCCCATCGCCTCGCATCCTGCATCGGTCCATCTTCCTGTCAGCCTATCGAGGGCAGTTGCCCCGTGTAAAGCATTCCCATTGAGATGCAATAAACTGCGGCTTGTTGACATCGCTCTCCCTTCGCCTCTGCCGTGTTACAACCCACTATTTGAAAGCTCTATTTTGAAAAGCAAAGCAGAAGACGTATTTCCTGCCGACTTCTTCAAACACGTGATCGTTGCTACGACAAACCTCATTTTAAATACCCCGGCTATTTAAGCTGTGATAATGGCTACGAACTAGGAATGTTCCTAACCTTCCGAACCAAAAAGAGGATATTTGCATCAGTTTTTTTAAAAGAGCCACAAAGAGGATGGACACCAAAAGAAGAGGACACGGCCTCTAAAAAGAGGACATTTGCCCTGAACTGGGTAGCCCAAGCAAGCCTGATCCCGTCAGAACTCGGAAGCTAAGCAGGGCTGACTCTGGAAAATACTCGGATGGGAGACCTCCTTGGAATACCAGTGCTCGGGAGGCGGGGGCAGGCTTTATTCAGCCACCTCTCTGAATATCCTCCAGGCCCCCAGTAGGGGTCAGTCACCAGAGGTCGCCAGGACTTCCAGGGGCACACACAGACTCATGCACACGCACACGCACATGCGCATAAAAATACCAAAAAGGGGAAGGGGAGAGGAGATCTGGCAATCCTATAATGTAGCTGCCACCACTTCCTGCAGCAGTGAATCCCACATGTTCGTGACTCTTTGGGTGAAGAAGAACTTCATTTTATCTGTTCTAGGTCTATCGCTCCTTAATTTCATGGAGTGCCCACCGGTTCTTGTATTGTGAGAAGGGGGGGGGACATTTTTCTCTCTATCTTCTCTATCCCATGCATAGTTTTGTAAATTAGGGTTGTCAGCCCCCAGGTTCCTGAGGGGGTTCCCCCAGTTTTGGGGGCTTCTGCCTGCCCCCAAATCCCACCCCCAAACAGTGACATCACTGTGCAACATCCCCAACACGATAATGTCGCCCTGGAAGTCACATCATCGGGTTGGGGGCATCACACAGCGACGCTCTGGTTTGAGGGCAAAACTCTACGGTTTGAAGCCAGTTTTACCATAGAGTTTTGCCTGAAAACCATAGTGTCACCACACAATGTCCCTGAAGTGATGATGTCATCATGTTGGGGATGTCCCAGAATGCCCCCCAAATCCCCCCCCCGCTAGAGCGATGAGGGGACTTGGCAACTCTATAAATGTAAACCTCTGTCATGTCACCTCTCCAAAGAAGAAGAAGATATTGGATTTATACCCCGCCCTTTACTATCAGAAGGAGTCTCAGAGTGGCTCACAAACTCCTCCCCCTCCCCCTCCCCCACAACAGACACCCTGTGAGGCAGGCGGGGCTGAGAGAGCTCTCTCGAGGACTGCCCTTGAGAGAACAGCTCTGAGAGAACTTATAACTGACTCAAGGTCACACCAGCCGCTGCAAGTGGAGGAGTGGGGCATCAAACCCAGCTCTCCCAGATCTGCGCTCCTAACCACTGCACCAAACTGGCTCTCCTGGGGAGGTTGGTGGAGCTCCTTCTGGTGAAAACTCACTGCCTTTTCTGCTGGGGAGGCCTTTTCAAAATGGACACAGGAAGCTGGCTTGCAAGGAATCAGGAGATTGAGACTGGGGAGGGCAGCCGTGAAGGAGCTAGAAAAGATCCTTAAAGGTAAGGATGGGTCGCAGGGGACCAAGATCAAGATAATGCATCCCATAGTTCTCTCCCTAGGGTTGCCAGCTCTGGATTGGGAAATCCCTGGAGGTTTGGGGGTGGAGCCTGAGAAAGGCGGGGTTTGGTGAGGGGAGGGTCCAGGCCATGGAGTCCTCCCTCCAAAGCACCCATTTTCTCTAGAGGAACTGATCTATGTCATCTGGAGAGCAGTTGTAATACCGGGAGAAGACCTTGCGAAGACCTTGGGTTCTGTTATTAGAGAGTCAACATGGAATGTTTCCTTCAAGAGTTGATAAGTAGTAATGGATAAAGATTGTGATTGCTACACGCTCAGATGAAGCAACTATTGTGAAACAGATCGTTTACATTGCGCAGCATTTGTTGCGTGCGAGAGATCATGAAAGAGAATTTTCTACAGAATTGCTACAGTAAATGATTTTGTAACCTATCTTCATTGACGTTCCGTTATTCTTGTCACGGGTGTTGTTTTTGCATATCCACTCCCCCACCTGGAGGTTGGCAACCCTAGTAGCTATTATGTGTGTGAACGTTGGACAATGAAGAAAGCTGACAGGAAGAAAGTGGGTTGCTTTGAAATGTGGCATTGGAGGAGTCTTACGGATACCGTGTGGACCATCAAAAGGACAAATCGGTGGGCTGTAGATACGGTTGCCAGGTCCCCTTGCCTCACTGGTGGGAGATTTGGCAGGCGTTCCAGGGATGGGCAGAGACATCATGCAATGCTCACCAAGAAGTGATGTCAGCACATCAGCAATGTTGAGGGTGGCGCTCTGCTTTGGGGGCAAACTCTATGGTCAAAATGACCTCAAACCATAAAGGTTTGCCCAAAAAGCAGAGCGTCGCCCCGTTGACGTCACCGATACACTGACATAACTTCCGGGAGACATCAACATGTTGCGCATGGCATCGGGGTGGGGGTAATTTCCAGCTGGCCGGCGGTGAGCAGGAGCCCACAAAAGCAGGGAACACACACCCCCGCCCCCACGTAGGGAATGGGAACGCCTAGTTCTAGATCCAAGCAAGCCAATTCTCTCCCTGGAAGCTAAAATGACCAAACTGAAACTATTGTGCTTTGGTCACATCATGAGAAGACAGCAGTCACCGGAAAAGACGGTCATGCTAGGAAAAGTGCAGGGCAGCAGGAAAAAGAGGAAGACCCAACAGGAGATGGACGGACTCCGTTAAGGATAGGCACGAACCCACAAACGAACCCCAATTCAAGCACAAACCAAGGGTTCGGGAGAACGTGTCTCCCACGATCCGCCCACGAACCTCGATCTTTTCCATAGAGGTTCGTGAGGTTCGTGGGAGACACCTTCTTGGGTGGGCCGAACTCCGCGAACCACAAACCGGTTCGCACAACGGAGAAGTTCACTGGAAGTTTGGGGTTTGGGGTTCGTGAAAACCCCGAACCTCCGATGAACCTCAATTTTTCCGGTTCGTGCCCATCCCTAGACTCCGTCAAGGAAGCCCTGGCCCCCAGTCTGCCAGACCTGAACATGGCTGCCAACAATAGGGCTTTTTGGAGGTCATAAATTCATAGGGTGGCCATTAAGTCAGAATTGACTCGATGGCACTGAACACCCACCCACATAGGAAGCTGCGGTCTCGCCATAAACGCTATTTCCCAGCCCTGGTGGTAGTCCTCAAAGGGGATCCGTACTTACCAGACACTTCTAGATGAACAGAGCCTACGTAGAACTCATCTGGCTGTTGACCCGGTCTCTGATCCGATTCTTCGAAGATGATGGAATAGTTCCCCGTGTCGGATGGTCTCAGATTGGCGATGTGCAAGGAGCAATCGGCTCTCACCGTCTCCCGCCCGCTGTGGCCGCTGCCTTTTCTCTCCTGGGGGGACGAGCCTGGGATATATTCAAGGATGGCTTCTGGTTCCCCGTTACGAGGTTCCCGGGACCACTCGCACAGCGCGAACCGTTGGGGGCCTCCCCGCACGGCGATGGTGACGTTCTGCCCCACTTGAGGTCTTGGCGGCTCCAGGATCAGGGAAACCTTTCTCTCGGCCACTCCCAGACTGAAGGCGCAGCTCAAAAGGATGCCTGCCAGGAGAAAAGAGACTTAGATTCAATTCTGTAAACTTCTAATTCTGTCAACGATGTTTCAGTCGTGTGGTGCCTTTCTTCCGCTGTTGGGCACGAGGCGGCCAGCTGAGGGTTCCTGGTTTTTCTCCCATCCAGACACGAAACACAGTCTAGTTCCTCCCTAGATCCTGTTCTGCTACACACACAAACACACACACACACGAATGCTCATGAAGCTGCCCTATACTGAATCAAGACCATCAGTCCATCAAGGTCAGTACCTGGTGGAATGAGCTCCCGGAGGAGATCAGGGCCCTGCGGGACCTCTCACAGTTCTGCAGGGCCTGCAAGACGGAACTCTTCCACCAGGCTTTCAACTAGGAGCCACCACTAAAGCGAGCTGGAATCAGGTTCTTCCAGAGAGGACTCTCTCTCAGAGCAAGGGGCAGCCGCCCCTAAAAGTCCTTATAAGTTGCGGAAGAGACGTGGAAAGGAGAAGTGAAGGCTGAAGGACTCTGAATTGTGCCTTTGAGAACTTTGAAATGGGATGATTGGGGATACTTTTTAAAGACAGTTAAAGTTTAAGATTTGGGAAAAGTTATTATAATTACGTGCCTCAGTCTATAATGGTGTAAACGCAGTGACGACTTGATGTAGTTAAGCTGGCGGGAGATCTCCTCTCGTGGGTTTTTAGTCAGTAGTGGGTATCTTTCTTTATCCTATCAATGTAGTTCCCCCGTCCTTTTTTCTGTTGTAGTTTTGTAGTGTTATAAAAAAAATAAAAATAAAAAATCCCCTCCAGGGTCTAAAACACACACACACACACTAGGAGCAGCCACTACCACCACCAACAACTATTTTGTGGTAGCAACGGGGTAATAAGATGGCCCATTATAAAGATCTTGCCACAGTATTGCAATGGATCGGTACTGCTGAATTGGGCTCTTGGTTAATATCTATAGGTCACCATCTTGATTCGATCTGAATGTTGAACATCCCTGAGCACTTTATTATTGTGAATGATGGTTGTTTTTGTTCTGTTTTTAGTGTTTTATACTGGCACATGGTTGCCCTTCTTTGTGAGCCCGTTCGCGGGGAGGGCGGGATAGAAATGCAATAATAAATACAGAAAGAATTGTCTACTCAGACTGGCAGCTGCTCTCCAGGGTCTCAGGCAGAAGGTCATTCACAGCACCTTTTCACTGGAGATGGCAG